AGCCATGCTGGCTGGGGAGTTCTGGGAGTTGAAGTCCACCCATCTTAAAGTTGCTGAGGTTGAGGAACCCTGATGTAAAGGACAGTGCTGTTGGTGATCAGGGCTATGCAGCACTTTGGATTCAAAGGCAAAAAGGTGCTTCAGAAGATGCAGGGATACATACCTAGCATCCGTCTGCAACCCTTTAAATAACATGTAGGTTTTGCCAAGTCATGCTGCAGTTGAAAAGAGCAGCTGGGTGATCCCAGGAAAATTGCTTTCAAGAGTTTCATACAAGTGGGAAATGAGCGCCCCTGCTGAGTCCAAGATATCTTCTTGTCTTTGAATCTGCACAGCCGCACCTTCCTATGGATAGTACAAATGCTCCATAAATCACAAGCACTGGGTGCAGGCTGCTAGTGACCAAGATAAGAAGCAAGCTATTTCCTCTATGTAACATTCCTTCCTCCTATAGGATCCAGAGACAATGTATTGGTGCTGATTGTCTAGTGTGATCTACTGTCCTATAAGCAATGACAAAACTAATAGGTAGAATGAACAGTTTATTTACTAAACCTGAGAACTCCCAAAGATAACCAACAGGAACAGCACAAAGTCTCCTTCAGATCAACATACATCCCATGTATACTCTGATCATCTGCTGAGAAGATGGGCTCAGATTTGCTCTCTTAGAAAGCTCTTCAAGGAACAACTCATATGCCAATCCTAATTTTTTTAAAAAATATATTTTTATTGAGAATTTTAATTACAATAGTAAAAGCAAATACAAACTAAACTCAGAGAAAAAGAGATCGAAAGAATTAGAAATGCAAAGAAGAAAGAAGAAAACGAAAAAGAAAAGAAAGGTTTAAAGAAGTGACTTCCAATCTTTGTCACAAGTATAAACAAATTTAATAACTCTTCACCCCCCCCTAAGGTTACAAACAAATATCTCTTCTTCCCATAACCTTGTATGCAAATCCATAAATCATCACCTTTTCAGTCCTGGGTCAGCAAAAAGTCCGTAAAGGGTTCCCAGAGTTTTATAGAAACATGTCTTAGTTGCTAGTTGGTCAAGCAAAACAACTCTACATTCTTTCCTTTTACTTCTAACAATCTTTATCTTTAAT